TACAAAATACTCAAAAAAAAGTATTTAAATACAAAATACAAAATGTATTTATGTATTTCAAATACATGTATTTCAAATACTGCCCACCTTTGGTTAACATATTAATTATATTTACCGACGCGATTTTAGTTTATACAGAAATGTTTCATTACACTTTCACTATTGCTTCATCATTTCACTTACACTATTATTTTATCATTACACTTAAGCCCTCATCATTACATTTATCAGACTAGAGATTGAGATTAGATTTGAATTTAATCAATGAAAAACAACAAAATCAATCTCAAGTTTGGTGAACTTTGTTTAGATTGATCAAATTTCAATCTAATTCTCAATCTTAATCTTTACTCTGATATAGGCTATATACGATATCGAATTTATTTATGCACACGTTCGGGACAGTCAATGGCAGTCTAAAAAAAATCAAACCACCAATAGATCTACGTCTGCGTAAAAAAAACTCAAGTAAGGTTCTATCCTGACAAACTTGTATAGCAGCATAACCATACGCATAAGGAAAATTACCCAATCGCATTTCTATCATAAAGACACATCTAAAATACGATTGGATAATTTTTCTTATGCATATGATTATGCTGCTATACAAGTTTGTCTGGATATAGGCTCTAAGGATACTATTATATTTGTCGTATGACAAATGTTTTTAAGCGTGTTGATTGGCTGCAGGATAAAAAAGTTTCTAAAAACTGGAGAATTGCTCTATTCTGCAGCCAATCAATACGCTTAAAAAATTTGTTATACGACGAATCTAATATTACGCTAACTCGCTGTGATGCGAATATGTAAATAAATGATTGTTTTGCGATCACTAAAACCGGATGCACTACACCACTCATTCTATGCATGATACAACATTAGCAGACTGCCATCGATATTCTTTTCAAAATTTATTTCTTTTCAACCCATGATTGGTTGAAACGGACTTCATCTTCATGACTTATCTTCATATGTAATAATTTCGACGAATTCAGCTACTGCAAAGACAGTAGACACGATGCTGTTTGGTTGATCATTTTACAAAATTTAAATGTATTTATAAATAAAATTCAAAATACAAAATACTCTAAAAAAAGTAATTTAAATACAAAATACACTTAAGAAAAGGATTTAAATACAAAATATAAAATTATTTAAATACGTATTTCAAATACATATATTTCAAATACTGCCCACCTCTGTATATATATATATATTTTTTTTTTTTAAGGGTGCTTCCAATCCTGATATTTATTTCGCACAAATTAGTATCTCGCACAAATTAATATATGTATAGAGATAGAGAGGTTATGTTTATGTATGATTTTACTTTGATATTAGGTTATGTGTTGCATTGATTTGCGGCAACGGCGGCGACGCATTCAGTGTGAATAAAAACGACGCTCTTTAAGTTTATCTCGCGTCGCGTCGTAACGCAATGAATGACGCGACGCGTGACGCGCTCAATAGCAATTCACCTTAAGCCATCCCTATATTAAACTATAGAAAACTGTGATCCAGCGGAGAAAAGGACGTGCACATGGTATAAAAAAACAAGATGTGTTCTTGCGCATAAAAATGTTTAACCAATGAGGATGGAACAAATAGCCGGCCATATTAATATATTAGCCAATCAGCGTTTTTCTCGCAATATTAAAAATGTAGTATAAATAAGGAAAGGACAATTAATAAATTTATTTATTTAGAATTAGTGACTTTTATTATTAATAATTATTAAATCTTCTATTATCAAATCATATGTCACGTAGTGACAAAGTTGCTTACTTTACTATTAGGCTGGATTCTCATACAGACACCGGCGCTTTGACACAGAGCGCTAATTGGTAAAAAATGAATAGTGAAAGTAAATAGTACTTTCACCATTCATCTTTCACCAATTAGCTTTGTTAAAGCGCCGATGTCTGCATGAGGATCCAGCCTTATTCAACAATAATTTCAAAATTCTCACACTTTGGTTCGATAAATTTAACTAGAACTCAGTTCTAATCAACAGACTCGGAATCACTACAATTTAAAATTATTTAAAATTAATTTTAGTTAGTTTAGGAAAAATATTGTCAGGTTGGGATCGTGTCCGTGCGACAACTCCAGATATGATCTTAACTATGTGATATTCAAATACAGCATCATTCGCTGTAACGCTCGATATTTGTTTCATTTTTTGAAGAAGAATTATTCTCTCCGAATTATTCTCATAATTTATAGTCTTTAATGAGATCTTGCTCACTTATTCTCTGCAGACTTCTACTATCCTTTTTAAAGAATCGAATTTCTCTTCATAATGCCTTTCGGTCTCGCCTCATTTAGTTCCCTTTTTTTTCGCCTGTAGCGCTCTTCATCTTTATCTATGCACCGTAATTTTTAACTCACCTATTCTACGATTACCATTGAGTGTTGATCCCACAGACTTTTATATATAATACTAAACCGCTAACGGCGGTGTTTATGATGAAGCATCACCATATTGATTGTGGGATAAAAGTCATATACATGGTGTAAAATTTTAAACTTATATATTTTATTTTTTATAAATGTTAATTCGACGTCATAGGCATTTTTAATATTTCTAAAATTAACAATATTATTTCTTATTTATTTAAATTAAACTGCATTATTCTATAGTTACTGCACATTAAACAATAGCTACGGTCCACTTAGCGCTACAAAAGTTTTGAAGCGTTTGATTAACCAATCAGAACAAAGAATTTTATGAATTGACCAATCAAAAAATGCTTCGAAGTATTTATATTAAAAATAATATGTAATATTGAGCACCAAGTGCTCAATATTACATATTATTTTTCTTAAACATCAAGTATATGATATTTTCACCCACAATAAAGATGGCTACTCGCATCACGTTTTATCGCGAATTCTTATACACGTTAGCGGTCTAGTATTATATATAGAAGTCTGTAGTTGATCCTGTTGGATTAGTCTCTGTCTACAAAAAATTAACCAATCATAGTCGATTATTCTCCTATTTTTCGATTATGATTCGTCCATTTCTTATAACTTAAGGCTAAAATCACCTATTGTAGACTGGGACTTACGACTTTAGGCTGCGTTTCGATATTCACTGCCAGTATTGAAAATATATAGTTTAGGTCACGTATATTATAGATTTTCACTACTAGCAATAAATATCGGAACGCAGCCGAAGAAGAGGTGTGGGCAAGCATAGACAAATTTGTCGAAATTAGTTGAAGTTGCATCAACGAGGAGTCGTGTTGCGGGGCATCCATTGTATTTTACAATAAAAATTATACGATGCAAAGGGAGGAGAAGCAATTGGATTCAGCTTTAGAGGCCATAATAATGCGAGTGAACGATCTAAAAACTGCAATTGCTGCAATGATATTCAAGGTGGAACACGAGTACGAAACTTTAAACTGGCCGAATTTCCTTGACAATTTCGCCCTCATTTCAGGTCATGTAAGTATCCTGTTTTATTAATTGTTAAACTAATTGTTAAAAAATCATGGTTCAGCGCCTATCTACATTTTGTGTCGACCATGTGTTTCTATTATCAAGTTACGGCTAGCGTGCCGTTTGTGCAGTTGACTAGCCTCTCGAAGATTCTCGGACATGATAAAGCGCCAAATCTCAGAAATCTTACGGTTCTACCGCTACGTCTGAGTCCGGAAAAAGACGAGGAGCTGCTTCGATTGACCGAAAATCGAATTCCTACATTTGCACACGATCTAGTTCCGGATTACTTGAGGACGAAATTAGAGCCCCAGGCTGAACAGAAAATGATGCAGTTGGAAGCCAAAGCCGCGAATGTTAACATCGATACATCGCACGTGAGACAATTCTTTATATTCTGCATTTTTTTACAAACGTCTCATTTAATTTATCATTAAACTTTTTTTCAAATTGATCAAAAACAAAAGTATTTAAAGATTAAATATATAATATAACTGTAATACGACTAAAAATTTTTAAGATTAATCGATCACTATTAAGTATATACTATTAAGTATATAGGTAATATCTGTTAAGATATATTGTTAAGATATAAAGCTAACTGAAAATGTTTTATCTTTCTGTTAATGTGCTAACTAAACAACAACTAGGACTACAATGTAAGCTGCTAAATCAGATAGCTTCAGCTTTGTTGGTTCCATTCGCTTTGGGCTGAAATTGATGTTATATATGCAAGCTTACATAAATAGCTATAGATGTTTGATGTTTGAGATAAACATTCGCTATACAGAGTTTTCTTGAATGGTCCATTTAGCGAGTGGAACATGTGAATTTTGATATTTATTAAGTTTCTCGTGTATCTCTCTTGGGTTTTAGAAACAACTGGCACAGTATACAAAAGTAATCAGTCATGTGTGGGACATAATGAATAAAATACGTGACGAATGGGAGAGCGATGTTAGTACCAAAGCAACACAAACACAGACCAGTAGCGCTGCAGACACTCATGCTCTTCTGGCTGCTGTAGGGATGGGTAAAGGTCTGAAAGTAAGTTATAATAAAAAAAGAATTGAATTTCTAGAACAATCAATAATTTCATTTTGATATATCCGTTATAGATATCATATGTTGTTTTTATTTAATGTTTACAGTCTGATTCGATACAAATGGTTCAGTCGGGTGTAAATCCTGTAACTAATAGCATGATGGTAGGCAGACCTGGCAATCAACAGCAAACGACGGGACAAGGACTAGGTAATCCACCAAGTAAGTTTTGCAAAGATTTCCATTTTTCTCATAATAATATACTCATAATAATTTTGGATTACTACTTTCTAGTGGGACAAATGAACAAAGCACCAAGTGCGATAAAGACAAATATCAAAGCAGCATCGCAAATTCATCCGTATAGATAAAAATATGACACAGTACTTCCATTATTTAAACTATGTTATATAATAATTGATAGCTCATACACTGGTACATTTCTAATTATGTTTCTAATTTTAGTATAAAATAATTTCATATATGTGTACATATAGAGTGAGGAAAAAATCCTAGATCTTTGAAATCTCTCAATAACAAAGTATTTTTGAAAAAAATGTTTCATACAAAAATTGTAAAATTTTAAGAGACATCAGTCATCAGTGTAGCAAGATTAGTGTGACCTTGAATAGCGTTAGATCATGTAAAAATCGCTTTGAAATTTTTAAATGAAAATCCTCATTTTTTTAATGCATATTCTTGTACCTTCTTCCGAGAGCTTTCCGAAACACTATAATTAAGTACTTTTTCGTTTAGGACTTTTCGAGTTATGAGACATGAATATTACGGTATTTTGACAAAAAATACAAAATATCTTGTAAAATATTCAGTTTTTGATAATCCTTAATACTTTGATGCACAAAATAATGAGATAACTCAAGTAGTATAGAGAAAACCCAAGTTGCTTTAAAAAAAAATATGCACTTCCTTGCAAATTATATACATGTTTTTTTTGTTTTGGAAAGCTCTTGAAATAAACTACAAGAATATACAATAAAAAAATAAAGATTTCTATCTAAAAATTTCAACATGATTTTTACGTGACTGACAACGTTATTCAAGATTAACCTTGTTATCGTGCATCTCTTAAAATCCTACAACTTTTGTATGAAACATTTTCTCAAAAATGTTTTGTTTTATCGAGATATTTCATGAGTCGGGACCTTTTCTCTTCACTCTGCGTGTGTGCGTGCGTGCATGCGATATAAATGTGCACACACACACACACACACACACACACACACACACAATGTTATATATATATTTATATTTATATATATACATTTATAATTAGTATAATGAAATAATTATTAAACATAATTATTAAAAATAACTTTTTATTATAGAAATGTTTTAAATATGATTTGAAACATTATTATTACAATTACTTAATTACAAATTATTGAAGATCAATATCAAATCGTTCTTTATATTTATCAAACTATAATAATTTTTTAGTGTTTGTGAGATACGATTGCATACGAGCGGGGAGAAACACACTTGTTCATCACAGGCACTATGATAGCCTCCAAGCCGTGTTCGTGCAACCAACATAATCGATCCTGTAGAATCAATGATTCTGCTGGAAGTTGTAGCATCATTTGCAATCCAGTATAAATTTCTACATCTTTCAATCTTTTACTCTGTTTTTCCCACATTTGTGTTATATCTTTCTCCAATTCATCTTGCATGATCATTCTGTCTGTATGTGAAAATTTCATTTTAATTAAATTGTATATTAACTTCATAAGTATCGATTTATATTAACAATTACCTGTTAGGGTTGCGTAATCCTCTAATGCTAAATTATAGGGTATTAAATCATACCTTAGTAATGAATCTTTGATGTAAGTTTGAAAATTCAAGCATTGCGATTTTCTCGTACCTTTTCGAACTTTTTTATTAAGACTGTAATTATCTATATAACATTGTCTATGATTAGTTAATCTTTACAGTGTTTTCGACTGCTAGGTTTTGATCACTCTAAGATTAATAAGGTCACGATTTGCTTTGCTATTTGCTTATATATATGTATATAGTATCATAATTATATTTAAATGGTTAGATGCTTAATACGTCAAAAGATATATCGAAAATGTAATTATATAAAAATATGTTATAGTAAATGTATTAATAATTTAATATTTTATATTTTTATATTTTACGCTATTAATCAAACTTGAGCTTACACATCCAATTTAATCGATTTTAGGCCGATTTATGTTTATTAGTCGAAAATGCTATTAGCAAGCCCCGGATATTCATGCGATTTCTCGTGCCGCGCGCGGAGCACTACTGCGTGCGAGTAAGTTAAGTGCTCGCTAAAGTGAAATGTTACTCTTTATCTTTTTTGATATTTTTTGGATACTATATTATTTACTTTTAATATATTGTATTTGTTTCATTTACTCTATGTTACATTTTAAGATTTAAAAAATATGGTTTTAATTTGTACTTCTAATAAAATTCAAACATATTATTTTCTGTATTTTGTTTACGTTCAATAGACCGCGCGCTAGTCGAAATCATTAATTTAGATTATGTCGACTCGAGTTTCTTTGAGAAATGTTACTATCTCAATTTAGCGAGCACTCGACTTACTCGCACGCAGCGGTGCTCCGCGCGCGGCACGAGAAATCGCACGAATATCCGGAGCCTGGCTATTAGAATATATATACATCATATAATATTAGACACTTACGCTGTCGTGAATACAATTCGAGCACGGCTCTAGCAAGAACATGAAAAGCATGTTCGTCGTGCTTCTCTTTGGACATGCTATGCCACTTGTCCGCCGATTCTTGACATGCCAATCGTAAAAAGGGTACTCTTAAAAACTGTCCTACATCAAAATTATATTCTGCAATCGTTTCCCGTAGACAGTTAGATGTAGGGAAATTGTGAAAATATTGTTTTTCCTGCATAGGAATCTGTACACTTTTAGAAATCGAAAGTTTATGATAACAACATGAGATTAAAACGAGGAGTTTAGCAGAGTTCATTCTGCAAAAGATTTTCGATGCGCTTGTACTGAGATCTCCACAGGCGTGCAAGCCTATTAGACACACATTTGTAACGTCAGGGAACTCTTGTTGCAAAATGGATTCTATTACATCAGTAGAATCACAGGTTACATCGTAAAGAATATATTTAACTTTGTGCAACGAATCAGGATACAATTTTTTCTGTCTAATAAAGGCTTTGCTAATATTTTCTTTGTTTTTCTCCAATCCTAGAACTTGATAGCTATATAAATAATGTAACATTTGACATACATATCCCTGGAAGAAAAATAACGTAGCATGAATCTGATTGGATTTGCATATTTTTCTTATTATTTTATATATATGCTCTTCTTACCAAACCCGCACCCAAATCAATGATTGTTCGTATATCGTGCTGTTTGCATTGAATATCCACTAAATGAGCCAAATGCATTATTTCATGTTGTTTTTTTTTGCTGAAACCCGTCTTAAAATTTCGCGGTAAATCTACGGTAGAAGGCAAAACGGCTACAGTCGGCAATCTATTAATTTTCTTGCACCGTACAATATATGTTTTTAACGAATCAGGCCATTCAGACTAAAACAATTAATCCACTTAATCATTTTAATAATCTATAGTATTTATATGATACTTCTGGCTAACCTTTATTAATTTTCCCATTACAAAATTATTAAATTCATCGTTTTTTAAAATTTGTAAATGTTCTACCCATTCTTTAGGAATTGCATCTAAGGACGCTTTAGTTAATATCTCGGTTACTCGTGTATTGTGAAGCCATTGTATTTCGTGAAATAGGCATAATGCTTCAAAAAAATATTTCTTTTTAACATCGATATCCATTTGACTGAAAAAGAAAAGTGAATATATTCTTACGTTTACAAAATATATTCAATACATTTATGAAGAATAAAAAAAATGGAAGGAATAAATTAAACAAAACATTTATTTTGCATCCCTTGATTGAGATATATTTAATGTATAAAATAGCATAAATTATAATATTTAACATTACGTACTATTAAATAATATACGCTTAAATTTCCAATTCCTATTACTTATGGAAAACAACAATGTCAACATATTTGCAGTTTAATATGAAACACTTTTTATTATAAAAATAAAACTAATATTTTCACTTCTATTTATTCAGTGGCTCGTGCTTGATCTGCTTCTTCTTGATTTAGCACCAGCCAATTTTCTTTATACCTATTCGAAATATCTACATTTGTAGGTCCAATAAGCGAACGACCGATTCTGACACCATTTTGGTCGGGTTTTAGGTATTTTTCTGCCACGTGTAAAAGCTGCTCTTTAGTTACAGCTTTCAACTGCTCTCTTTGCTTTTGAATATCATCGTCTGTGATATCGTTTATGAATTTAGTCAAGCCTCGATTACTGGGAGGAACAGGGCCATCGATTTGTTGAAAGACTCCTAACTTTGCTTCGTCTATGTCACTCTGAGGCAACGAGTACTCGATTAGAAAATCATACGTTTTGTCAAACAGATCGAAGGTGCGTGTAGAGTTCGGGTCTCTGTAGGAATAAAAAGAGAAGATTCCCTCCGATGTTAATTTCGCACCTCCGCCGTAAGCCCCGCCTTTCTCTCGAATTTCCGGATGCAGATATACCGAGGTGATCAACTTGGACAATACGCGTAACACGGCATAATCTGGATTCGTATAAGGAACGGTCAGAATAGCCTTTGAGCAGTAGTTCACCGTGTATGGCAGTACATGATGATAGCCGCATTCTCTCGCTTCGATGCTCTGAGCGTTCGTGATGATACGTGAATTCTTCGAGTGACCCTTCAATGAATCATAGAACCCGTGAATACCCTGAAAAACATCGTCCCGATGCTCTTCGGACAAATTAATGGCCGACCGCAAGTGTTTCTTGTTCAGAACATAATTTACTATTTCCTGCATATTATGCAGCAGGGAAGTCAAGTCACGTATCCGCGCTATTTTCTTCATCCTCGCGATGTACTGCAATCCCGAGAGGCTCTCTTTGATCCGAGCTATCGGAGAGACCAGACTAGCGGCGCTACTCATCGCGTACATGTGGCCAGCGTGCGAGATACCATTGATTAGATCAGCCGCGTTCATCTTTACGAGTGTTTCGAATCTCTGAAGGTCGGTCAGTTTCACGTTGTTAAACAGCTCCGTCCACAACTTCCACATATCGCCAGAATTACGATCCAAGCAATATGAGCTTATGAAGATTCCTTCTTCATATTTGAGCTCACTCTCCTTATGTTCGGCGATGTGATTCATGAAATTTAGACCGCCAGTCTTTAGCTGCATCATCTGATCGAAACTTCTGTAATCGTAATTCTGCGTGCCCATTTTCGCAATAACGTAATTGAACAGCGGTAGTAGCTGCTTCAATTCATTCGGTAAAGCTTGTGTATTGAGTATTCCTCGATAATAGGAAATCCCGTTTGTCGGTTGCACGGACAATTGGAGGGGCACTCCGCATATCTCCAGATCGGAAGTCTTGTATCTTTCTATGTCGGCCTTCAAGTCTTCTATCTTCAGCGTTGGTAAAACTCCAACATCCTCTTTCTTTTGTTGCTCGGCAAGCAAGATCTTCCCATTGAGGTATACCTGGTCTTTCTCCTCCGCAGAAAGTTTTTCCAATTTTGTCTTCAATAATTTTTGCTCAGCGAGTGCTTTATTTTCTTCGTATTTCTTGTCAGGCGACATCGTTAGCGTCAATTTATGATTATTATCCCTGAGATAAGTTTCAATCAGATTTTGCAAATACTTGGGATTCTCTCTCATTCGCGACGTAAATTTTTTTACCGCATCATTAATTCGCAATGACTGTATCAAGTCACCATCGTGATTCCATAAAGATGTTAGATTGAAGAGCAAGTTCAATCCGAAGTTCGATGTTTGATGTTTTACTTGTAATTCGATGCCATGCAAAACAGCCTCGATGTGATTTTTTTCAAATCCTTCCTTGATAACTCTCTGTACAGTCTCGTTGAAAATATTTTCAACTTTCTCAAAATCTTCAAGCTTCACTCCTTGTAGACTCACGACAAACATCGTATCTCTGCACTGTGAATCAAAACCTGTAAATGGTCCAAAACCAGTGCTTATATTCGATTCGACCAAAGATTTATAAAATGCCGAATTCGGACCTTTCAATAGCAATTGCGAGAGCACATACATCTCGAAAGTCGTCTGTATATCATTTATATCATTGCACAAATGTGCGATGGCAATAGTGCCATGTCTACTAGGATCCGCGAGAAGCGGATCGTGTTTACATGCAATGTGCTCCTTCCTAGCTACATTCCATCGTTTTTCTGCCGGTACTTTTGACATGGAAGCATCTATTCTGTCAGACAAGAAAAGGTATCGGTCGTTGATAAATTTCAAATGATCCTCCAGTGGGAAATTTCCATAGGAATAGAAACGCGAATTAGAGGGATGGTAGTACTTCATGTGGAAGTTAAGGAGATCGATATATTGCAGATTAGGTATGACAAGGGGATCGCCGCCAGAAATTACGGAATATGTGTGACTCGGCAATATAGAATTCAGCAAACGTTCCGCCATAATAGCTTGATTGTCATTGAAGACACCCTTCATTTCGTTAAAGACCACGCCTTTGAATATGATAGGAGAGTTTTTATCATTAACATCTGTATGCTCTAATCTCCATCCTTCCTGTCGAAAGTCCAGTTCTCGTAGATTCGGCATGAAAACCGAGTCCAAATAAACTGACTGTAGATTGCGATAGTCTTTCAAGTTCTGCGTTGAGAATGGATATATCGTATAATCCGGTCCGGTCATGGCATTCATAAACGTAGCCAGAGATCTTCTTAGCATTTTGAAGAACGGATCTCTGCAGGGATATCGCTCGCTGCCACACAGAGCGGTATGTTCCAATATGTGAGGCAATCCTGTAGAGTCCATGGGAGTTGTACGAAATCCAATAGAAAATACATTGTTGGTGTCGTCTCGGGCCACATGCAAGTATTGTGCCCCTGTACTCAAGTGCGTTAGTCTAATTGCAGTAAGGAACAATTCATCTATGTTCGCGATTTCGTCTACTATAAACCCATGAAGAATTTCACCCTTCTTAAATTTACTTAGTCCATCTTGCATCAGCTCTTTTTGTGAATATAACGTATTGAATCTAATACTCGTTGACGATTGGAAGGTACGATATGCGATGTGTTGTAAAGCTGTACTTTTCAAAGGCAAGTTTCTCGAAAATTTTAATAATCTGAACATCTTGACTCAATTTCACGGTTTAAAGAAAAACTTGTATCTGAAAATAAAGCAATTCAATTTTATAATCTAGAATTATAAATCTTATATTAAAGGCAGATATGAAAGTTATTTTATTCTATAAATATTATTTTAAATATAATAATACTTACCAATCTTTCTTGAATAATTGTGAACAGATTTAAACTAAAGCTTGATTACAACAAACACAATCACCAACAGACATTCCACTTTAAAATTTTGTTCAATAAAATAAATAATTTTATTCAATCAGAAAAAAGAAATTTGTATTACATGAAGGAAAATGTTAATAACAAATTTCAGAATGATAAATTTGTAAAAATTAATTAGGAATGCCAATTAGTGAAGTGGTTGCAAGATGATCTTTAGGGTAGCTTTGATCAAATTCCGATTTAAACAATGATTTGAATTTAATCAACACAATTATATTTAAAAAAATATGAATATAATAGTCTCACATCAAACGAGAATAAAATTTATAATTTCGTTTGTGTTAACAAAAAATTGTTTGGCAGAAGTCAATTATCAATTTATTATATCAAATTAATTGAGATTTGATCAAAGTTTGATCGTTTTTAATGTCTTACGCAATATTCGCAAGATATACGCAAACGCCGGCATTATCAGGATAGAGAGATCTAACAAAAGTTAAAATAATCTTACCTATCGATTCGTCAGTTTATTGAAACAGTTCGAAATTTGATTTTTGCAAAATTCACAATAAAAGATTAGATTACTCAGATTCTTATTTGACAGTTGACGTGTTTAAAGGTTAGACGAACCATTTTCATGTATTCTCACGTTATTTGTCGTTGCTGTTGAAATATTTTTTTTATTGTTTCACACACACACACACACACATACACACACACACACACACATGAGAAACGGAAAATAATCACAATTTATGAAATAAAGTTGATAGTGATGTTACACGAAATGTTCCAATGTTTCGTTAAGGTGTCCTTTTTATGTTAATACTCGACGTTCAGCGCGCAAAATAGCTCATGTGATCAAAATGACTATGTAAATTTTATTATTCTGGAGTGCGTTCATAATAGTACCCTAGTGCACCTACATATCACTTATCTTTAAAGCTTACTTTTTCATGCAGCGAAGCAAAGCTAGGTTTTAACGAATGTTTACGACAAATAATCAGATCTCTGATCGGAAAAAGCACTGGTATTCAACCAATAAACTCTCTAAATTTCCCTAGACTAATCTGGATCAGTGATCTCTGTCTCAGTATTGATCGGATTAATCATTAACGAAGCATAAAAGTATTTTTGTTGAAAGGTAATCCTCTCTTTATTTTTTTTATATGAAATATTAAATAATTTTACGAAATATAAAATAAAGAAGTATAAACACTTGTTAAATAAAAAATTTTTTATTTAACAATTTTTTAATAAGATGTTTTTTTATTAACTTTGCGCAACTTTGCACTTTTTCAATATAACTTCAAGCTTTGAAATAGATTATTTTCACAGAAAGAAATGTTTAGTACAAAAAATATTACAATATATAAATTCAAATTTATAACGAACTTTATTAAAATAAATTTAAATATTTGATTTCGTATTATATATTATATAATTACATTATAATTATAATTATATTATATATTAATATATTATCGATAAAAGTTTCTTTTTTGATTTATATAAAAAGTAATTTTAGCCAGTTATCGTTAAAATTAATTATTGTTATAATTAATTTCAAATTAATCAAAATTGTATTGCTATCCAAATTCTAAAATATATATTTTTATATTTTTATATTTTGCAATTAATTAATCGTATAATCGATCATCATACGATTTATTTTGCATATTATTTTCTATTCCTTAAGAATAAAGTTCTTAAGAATAAATTCCAAAATTTCTTTAATAAAAGTTATAAGAAAAGTATAAATATAAGAACATACAAGAGATATTTTAAACATCTTTCATATATAAGAATATATACATGTTCTTATATATAAAAAAATATCTAAAAAATCTCTTACATTCCGATTTTGGATTTTGTGTAAACTGGATAAGTCTACTTCACGAAAAGTAACAGCAGTAAAAATATAAATTTATAATTTTCATTTTTGGTAAATTATTTAAAAAATATAAATAAAAAACTTAAATTATATAAATATATATATTATTTCATAAATATATATATTATTTTTATAAAGTTTTCGTTTATATATAAAACTATTTGTGTTTAGATTTATTACACTCATTTGTCACACATATCTATTAATATTATTAATCTCATTAGTATCGCTTGGAATGACACAATAGTATGATAATTTGTGTAATTTACACAAGTAATTCTAAAGAAGAAATCTCAGTTCGGAAAATATATCAAGACGCGTAAAATTTAATTTTATAATTGCATTCGTTAGATTTGATGTTAGATTTGATGCATAGACCAGAGTTGAATCACATTTGGACGAAGAACGTTATGTTAGAATTATGCTAGAAAATACTACTAACTATGAGGTATATATTTTAAAAATAAAACAGAATCGATCTCACGAAGTAAAAATTAATGATCATTCTTTCTTGCAGATATTTGCCTTAAGATCTTTAGTAGCTTGAGTGGACATTTCTTTGTTTATCTATTGAGTAGAATAACAAACGAAAATATGTGAGTATTATACTAGTAAATATTATTTCTGTTATCTATAAGGTAAATAGAAAAGACGTAAAAAAAGATAGAACAAATTACCCGAAAACTCAAATAGTTCATGTCAATCAATCACCGGGCGGCTGTATTGAATTTTGTTTCAGAATCTTCAGTATACCAGCATGATTCGTGGAAAAGGCGGTAGAAAGCTTCTCTTCTACCTGTTGCAACGGAGTCTTATTCTGCAAATTGCGTGCATTAATAAAGGCACCGTGTCTGATCAGCAAATTCACAGGTTTCACATTGCCGGCCATGGTCGCCAGGTGCAATGGTGTGTCGCCGTCGTGATCCTTGGCATCTATATTACAAGTCGCGCAATTGAGCAGCAGTCTCGCCGCGTCGACATGATCGTTGAGACATGCCAGATGTAATGGGGTACGACCTTCCGACTTGGTCATTACATTCACGTTTGCACCGGCGTCGAGCAGTAGCTGCACCATCTTGGTACGACCGGTTGCGCTCGCCAAATGCAACGCCGTTTCACCTAGATCATTGCAGGCGTTGATCGTGAGTGCCCGTTGTCTTTGTTTGCGCTCCAGCTTATCCTCATCCGTCACTGGACACCGCTCGCAGTCGCATAGTGGATGATGGCACAGATTCGCGCGAGCACTTGATGGCCGTTCACGATAGACTTCTAGACCCAGGTAATAACACGCCAGACATATATCGCCATCGACTATAGCGGCGAGCAATTTGTCCATCATACGGTGCTGCATCACGTTGACATAGTTTTTGACGTGCGATGGGTTTTTGTTCTCCAACAGGGCTCGATGACATTGTTGCTGAAAAGGCATTGGCTGGCAAGGCTGCGCGAAAATACGCCGCTGGAACAAGGCGACATCGTTGCAGATGTTACCTGATGCTGCGTTACATCTGATCAACTCAGCAATGGTTTCGCTATACGTTATCATCGACGGTGTTTGACCCTTCTTGTTGGTCGTTTTGCAATTTGCGCCGTATTCCAGGAGAATATCGACGATCGTGCGGTATCCCCATCTGGCTGCGAGATGCAACGGTGTGTCACCATTGTCATTGGCGATGTTTACATCAATCGGTGCTCTCATGTGTTCCGATAGATATAATAATGCCTTCACGCAGCTCTCGTGACCACGATCTACTGCCAAATGCAACGGCGTGTTTCCCCGTGAGTCTATCGCCGTAGGATCTGCGTTTGCATGCAGCATCAATAACAAAATGTTTTGATGACCCTTAATGCAGGTGTGATGAAGGGCAGTCATGCCGTCGGAGTCTACGACGTTTATGTCCGTGTCATGGTCGAGGAGAAAGTCCACGATCACGATTTGATCGTGCAATACGGCGACGTGTAGCGGTGTTAGACCCTTGTCGTCCTTGGGACATGTATTCAGATCCCGTTGTTTCGTCCAATTCCGTTCGCAAGATGCGCAAGTACACAAAGGATGACAGAGCATAACATCATTGACTTGACTGGATCTATCATAAGTTAATATTCTTTTTACCTCAGACAAATTACCATTTTTGATGCATGCGAACAAATAACAGATGGACGTGCGTTCCGATTGATTCATCAATTGATCATATTTGTCCGAGTTATTCACGCATTTGTCCTCGCCGCAGATTACTCCAGATTTGATGTACATGATCACGGCCTCCAAAGATGTTATCAGAAAACTGATCTCGTCCGTTTCATAAGTGGAGTTTGAGGAGAGGCGAAATTGTCTCATGAAATACAGCTGTGCCGTCCAGTTTGATAGACCGACATTGATGACGAGAAACACAAGCACTGGCAAAAGATCATCCGACGTGACAGACGACGATATTCCATGCGATATATAATTGACAGTTCTTCTGAGGCATTCGATCTTGCCCAGTACGGTCACAAAGTTGTCTAACCGCGCCAGTTCTATCTTTCCACCATGAATGCGAGATTGTAGGTCTGACCGTACTCGGAGATCGTTCAATTGAATCCCATTTAAATTTCTGATGATCTTATTCAAATATGCATCCTCTGAAACAGTACAGGCAGACAATGATTTTATCAGGATGTTTTTCAAAGCATACAAGATGTATGTCTCCAATGACACTCTGATATTCCACTGATACTGCTTATTGTTTGTAATTTTTTTTTTCAAAGTTGCATTCTCCATTAACATTCCAAGACAATCTGCATACAACTCGTATACCAGATCCTTCTGCTCCTGCATTGATTTGCGTTGCAAATTTTTATTAATATATAGAAAATCCTTGATCTTGATTTCGAGGTCATCGCGTAGTTGTCCATTAAGCAATTCCACCTGAAGAAAATTTATGGCTTCTTGAAGATTCGTGATTACACTTATACAGTTGTCCGAGACATACATGCTAGCTTTTAGAGGCCGCTCAATGCACCTGCAAAGGATGATAATAGACAATATCTGGAATTGCAACGTTCATATGCCAGCTTACCATACACTGTATTTATGCAGATCATCGTTGTAGAAGATCTCCTCGAAGAGTAAGCGCGAGGAATACCGTTCGGCGTCATCGTGTTCAACATGCAGAATTTGATCCTCGAGCAAGATCTTGCTGCCATTCAGGCTGCAGAATCGGGTGACAGAGAGGTCTTGTTCAGGGACCAGGATATGAACATTTATCTCATCCTCATGCAACGTGCGACTGACAAAGCTGCCGCTACGTGGAACACAGACGACCCAACCTTCCTGGACGGCCCGCTGGAACGTGGCCTTATGCTCATCTTTGAGCTCCCGCAGGAAATGATTCTCCGACAGATCCTCGTCGTATCCTGCATTCATGATCGGCAACGGGGGATAATGTCACGTGAAAGATGACGGAGCGAAGCGACGCGGGGATCGCCGATGTTCTCGACAAGATGCCTGGCATCGCGCGAGCTCAGCACGACAGACCAGATGAAATCGAGTCAGGATTAAGGTTAGAATAGGTTACATTAGGTTAGATTTTAAAAGGAGAAGTGTGGACATGCGAGAAAGATTTTATATTGAATTCACAGCAATCGCAAATCACCACTTCCAGTCTAGCAGGATTCTCAATGACGCACAAGTTTGTCACACATTTTGAACGTTTCAATGTGTGCGCATGCGAACACATTCTGTACATTTATATATTTTTTTAAAACATTTAATTTTCAATCAACTTAATGAAATTTTTCATAAAGCGCTCGCGATTAATAATTCATGTTTAATATATTTTCGAAATTTCTGGTACATAAATTAAATCGCAAGATCTTTTTCGCACATCTCTATTAAATTTCTGCAAATGTTATACCTAATTGACGTCATTTGTAATATTTGCAATGCGTAAACATCGTTATCGTCCCGAAACAATTTCTTTGCATTTGATTTGAACCTATATAATAATTAAGCATAATTATAAATTATTTTGTATGATCAGAGATGATGTATGCGTGTGTATGGTGTGTTATGTTATTATATGTCATGCATGCGTATGTCATGTGTGTATATATATGTACGCGCTATACACATGCACAGTAAAAAACATTTTGTATTTGTGTTAAAATCGGTCCTTAAAATTTTTTAAACCTACTATATGTAAATTTAACACATGTCTACTATGTTAACTGACCTTAACAAATATAAGATGTAAAATTATTAAAATGATTTAAGAAATGTGTTAATAACACAATTCGTACGTATTTATTCAATATGTTAAAATTTACACAAAAAAAATATTGGTTTTACTCTATAATAGGAGTGGGGATGACTTGTTATTATTCTTTGTGTGGTTTCAGCACAATCTTGAATTTTGACGCGTCTCGACATGTTATTTTATATATTATCAATAAAAATTATTATGTTAATTGTAACACACAATTAACTTCAAATTAAGATCAAGAGTACATTTCTTTTTTGTTGAAATATTAACATAGTGTCGGTGTTACTATTTAACACATCCATATTATGTTAAATTAACACAAAATTTTGAGTGGACCGTTTGGGACATGCGATTTATGTTAAATTCAACACATTTTTTCCAACAATGTACTTTTGCTATGCACATTTACTTTGCTATATACATTTTTTTCAATAAAACACACACATACTCTCTCTCTCTCTCTCTCTCTCTCTCTCTCTCTCTCTCTCTCTCTCTC